TTCAGCGACGTGTCGGCCACAACATTTGTTTCTTATTTTTTTTTTTGTTTCTTCAGTAATAATTGTTAAAAAAAAAAAGAAATGTAAACATCAGAAAATATTATAAAAAAAAGTTTCACAGGGGATCGAACCCGGTCCTACCGCGTGTGAAGCGGACGTCTTACCCACTGAGCTACTGGGGCAAGTCGATTCTGGGGGATCTCTTTCCTTAGTAACAATTCAGCCGATAAACTGTAAGTTGGAAAGTTTGCTGTCGATTTTTCTCTAGCAAAAGCACTCCCGGGTCGAAGTCCGGATGCACCACGCATTGGCGACATTCTCACCTAGTAAAGAAATCGTACGCGTGCATATTCAACTCGAAGTAGACACGTCGCGCTTGACGTTTGCGCGAGCGATGTCTTCAGCCACAAGAAGGGAGCGACGGCTCGGCGACGTCTTCGTGCAAATCGGCTTGGTGGTCGGGCGTGTCGTAACTCGTAAGGCATGAATACCAATTCTTTTGAACAGTCCCAAATTTCTCTTTTAAAGGCGAACAAAATTCGCCGGTACCGCGAACGACACTTCTGAAATAGAGGTCCCACGCCCGTCGTCCGCTGCCATCGCCGTCCCTGCGAGTCCCACGATACGCGAAACGACGCACGCACAGAATGCTTCCGGTTGTCTGTGGAACTTTTTTTTCAATCAACGTATTTGCAGGTTTTTAGAAGCCACAAAAAATGGGTTTCATATTTTTTTTCTATTTTTAATATTGAGTGTGTCCCTTCAGTGACCCACGACTTTGATTAAATTTGGTGGTCGCATCGATACCTTAGAAAACGGCCCGTGACCGCGGAAAAGAGAGTGAGCGAGACTCGAACCGGCCAGTTCTTGATCGGCGGTTTTCGGGCGGAAAGAAACCGAATTTCGAGCCGCAAATTCTGTTCTGGGTAGTTGAGCTCTCATATGTCACGTACAACTAAAAACCTCGGCGAGCAGAAATACCCTGTCAGTGTCCCTTTAAGTGGACGGTGCTTCAATGCATTCCCTCGGTATGAATTTGGCTCAACTTGAATCGAGAATGAATCCTGCGTCAGGGTTCGGCGAGGACTAGGGTCCGATCACGAGATTCCAGCCTGAGAAATGGCGGCCCCCAATGTTACTTGAGGGAGTTTTAAAAGAGGTCTATTGCGAGTGCGAAAAAATAATTCTTACCTGAGCGTTTTCTGGTTTCCTATTAGATAAGTCGTGAAGGGAATCTTCATGATGGAAATAGATGTACGATTGATTCATTTTCGAACATGTAAAACTTGTACAAAAATACTCCGCCCCCCTCTTCCAAAATACAAACTTGCAGGGACGTAAGTTTTAATTCATAGCGTTCTCGTTACGCAGCATTGCCTAGTCATGAAAGCGATATTAAAAATAGGAACAAAACGTTCTAGAGCATAGCGAGCTCGCGCAAAAGTAGTGGCGTCACGCGGTAGATTGTATGGAAAGAAGCATATCTATTTAGATTTCCTTTTTCCCGATATTTTTTTTTTGTTGCTTTTACTCATCTTTTGGTATCTTGTCGAGATCCGTAAACTGATCAAGACAAATCCGCACCAAGGCTGTGCTCGGGACAAGAATTTCGCAATGTCTATAGACCAGTGTCTCTCCTGTTTCATGGGAGCCGCCATGTTTTGTATTTATTTATTTATTTATTTATTTATTTTTTGCTGACGTCATGACACAGTAAGGGGGCTGCGCTTTTGGGATTACTCCGTTTTTTTTAGAAACCTCACCCCTCTCCCCGCGAGGTCCGTCTTCCCGTGGTTCGATCCGCCACCGTTTCTTGAGGGGGATGACTCCTATGGTAACTACAGTTAGGCCGGTTTTGAAACACAGCGTCTAGATGGCGCTTCAACGAAGTATCTCCGAAGAACAGAGTTTTGAAATGCAGCCTCTTGGATGGCGCTTGAAACGGACGGGTGGCGCGGGCTTGAGGCTGAGAGGGACATACCCCACTCCGCGGGAGTTGCACAACTCCCGCGGAGTGGGGTTAATGTAATAATGTTGGTGAGACTGCAACCTCACGGAATCTAATGGTGCCACGTGAGATCATTGTTTCACGTGCATGACGCCGTGATGTCACGTCACGCTCTCACCGGACGCCACTTGACCAGGTAACGTGCCATCAGGTCACGTCACGTGACACATTGATGTCACGGTGTCGGTTAAGGTCACGGTGCCACATGAACTCAAGGTGTCCCTGATGTTATTACGTCGCCTGACGTGCCATCGCGATGCACGTCATCTGACGTGAGATGGGCACGTGCCACAATATTAGGTCTGGTCACGTGATGTTGTATGACGGTCTCACGTGACGTTGCAGGCCTATAAATACTATGCATTGAAAGCGTCTTAGGGATGACCGCACAGAGTCTCCTTACACTATGACGTCATCGAAACTAAATCCGTGTGCGTAAGATACCTGAGAGCTGGCATACAAATGATAATAAAAGCAAACATATCTAAAACTTTTAAGCGCGACCTCTGAATAGCATCTAAGTTACGACTGGTCGGAAAGTGATTAGGTTGCAAGTTTTGATTAGGCTTTCTTACGCTATAGTCACACTGGTGGTTGAACCGCGTTCGCAAAGCGGTTGCGAACGCAGTTGCTTAAAGATCGAATACAATTTCACGCGTGTTCGATGACGTAAAAATAACTGATCCTCATCGCGGTTGTAATTACAATGACAATGTAGACCAATCTTTATACTGAGTAACTTGTCTAGTTTGTGAAAGAGAAATGGTGGTACATTTTCTCGTTGCCGAGCAGACTCTATCGAATTCGCCGACGCTAAATTCCATTCAATAACCCACTTAAAAGAAAAGAACAATAAAAAAAGAAAAACGTTACACGCGATGGTTAGTTGTGCAGAGACGACGTTCTGAAGTCGTTGAATGCAGCGCCAAGACGCGGCTCTGAAGTGAAGCTTCAGTTCTCTGGAAATGTACGGCGGTTATAGTGTGATCATAGTTACGATGTGTCGCGACCAGAATAGAAATCGATACAAAAGTGAAGTTCATTTATGGCTGCGTCATTGTATAACTCCAAGCGTCCACACCTACCGGTGCGTGCTCTAAGACCTGCTTCTCCGTAGAGTGGCCTGAATCCGCGGTATCAAAATTCTGGCTCCAAGAAACGCACATTTCCAAACACCGTTTAGTTTTTTTTTTGTTTTTTGTTACAACTGTAGAACCTTTACGACATTCAGCCAAATTCACTTTCACTTTGGGTACCTCGCGCCGCCAGAATACTCAGCGCCGAGAACACGCACTCTCGAAGGTGCTGAAACGAACATCCTCGCTCACAGAATTCAGAATCACTTACGTCGAAGTCCATGATACGTACGAACTCGTGTCTCTCAACCCCCTATAGAAGAGAGTTGCACTTACAAAGAGGGTCGAATCGACGTCAGACCGCCACCAAGACGTTCCTCACGCCCGCGTCATGCGGTTCATGTTGAGACGAAGACATTGCACAACCACGCTGTCCAAACCGTCCAAAGCTACTAAGGTGCCCGAAACGCGCCTGCAACTGTTTACCCATAGCCTCCCATATACTGACAAAGCCTGGCAGATCGCCACGAGAAGCGGCCACGGAAATGGAAACCGTGGAGCGGCAGACAACGGATGAGAGGAGAGCCACGTGACCGGCGCCCCGCTGCGGCGAGACACCGAAACACACTTCTCCCGAGCGAACTAGTGTGTTTTGGGTCCTCGCCGCTGGAAAAGCTGTGCGCTGACGTCTCGGTTCCCCGAGAAAGGACTATTTAATGCTCTGTGCTACAAGATCCTCGTGCTCCAAATCTGCGACCGAAATGCCAGGCTTTGTGAGTATAGAAGAGGCTATGGTTTACCGTCCTATCGTGCTCATGCATCAAAAGTGGTCCCGAGGTGGCGACAAAGTACGTCATAAGAGCCGGCGTGCCTCGTTGTCAGACATGTTGCAATTCTCGAGGTTGGTCGTACAAACGCTGGCGAAAAAGGCGAGCGTACGCAAGGATCGCTGTCATCGCGGTGTCCGACTTCGTGTCTGCTCACGTTTCCGCTGACTGCCGGGCTGCAGAGCGACGTAGAACAGAACAGGCGTCTGCCACGTGTGCACCTGCGCTGCAGTGTCGCCGCCAGGATCGCGACAGGCAACGGCATAATACTTTTATGACGTTATCAGGCGAAAATCAAGAGACCGCGTTTGAGGACGCGTTAAACCAATGCGGAGAGCAAGTCGTCTGGTTCTTGCGCAGGAGTTGCGGTGACGTCGGTACGACGCCAAGCTCTGATTGGTTTTGACTGAAAGGATGACGGGCAGACCTCAATGCTAGATGCCTCGAGGTCTACCCACTATTTTGTTTCTCAATCAGCCAATAAGAGCTCGGCGTTCTGACATCATCGCAACCTTCCCTGCAAGAAGCAGACGAACTTGCGCTCCCCACACCACCTAGATTACGAGGCCTGTGCATGACGTCATCGTTTGTGAACCCCCGCTTTACTTTATGTGCGCGCGATGCCGAAGCTGCAAGCACGAGCACGTTGCCCTAGCGATACTTGCCCCAGACGAGCGCGAGTGCTTGGCAGAGACGCTGGTATTGTTTAAACAAACCGGTCGGAGACGCTTTCCATGCATCGTAACTACGTCGCCTAGAGCGCGTCTCTGACTGGTGTGTTTAGCGTCCCACCTCACCCACACATCAAAAGTGGTCCCGAAGTTGCAACAAATGATGTCACAGGAACCCGTGTGTCACGCTGCCGGAGGTCGCGATCCTAGTGGTTACTGCTAAAAACCCCGCTAAAAAAAAAAATGACACGAACGAACGCGGGTGTCGCTGTCGTCGCGGCGTTCCGACTTCTCGCTGCTGAAGTTTCCGTAGGCTGTCAAGCTGGAGAGGGACCTGCAGCAGAACAGGCGTCTGCCACATATATCACCGCCGCTGTGAACCGCCAGGATCGCGACAAACGAAAGCGTGACATTTGTATGACGTCATCAGGCGGAAACGAAGGGGCCATGTTTGGAGACGCGGTAAGCAGAACGGTTGCAGGCGCGTCTCAAGCACCCGCAACGGTGTGTTCAGTTTTGCGACGGTGGGTCTTCGGGGATCTCGTCGTCAACGAAGTAGAGAAACAACGTCCAGTAAAGAACTTTCAAGACGGTGAAGGTGAGAGGAAAGATGATTCGCGCCCACGCGTCCACCTCCGCGGACACCTCGCTGGGCGTCATCCGCTCCTCCGGGGCCGTGTTGCAGGGTTGGTAGATTGGCCGCTTTTTCCGCCGCCTCCAGCGAAATTGCAGCTGCTCCAGACAGCCGCCGATGAGGCGTGTCCTGCGGCGTTCCTCTTCAATCTCTTCGGCCCGCTCGAGGCGAAGGCGGATGTCTTCGGAGCCAGCGTTTTCAGTGTCCGTGCCAGACTCCCGGTTGAACTCCTGCAAAATGTATTGACGTGACAGAGTAAATAAATATTCGCATAGAATGCACGCCGAATGGCCAGATAAGGCAACGGTTCATTACAGAAAGATTTTAAAAGAGCGCTGGATGAGTGTCAACTATTATTGTGGATGCTGTGAACTTTGCGGATGTTGTGAACTGTCGGTAATAAGTTTTATTGCGTTGTATGTTTTCTCTTAGCGATTTTGTTTGACTATAATTAGTTTAGGTGTTGGCACTACTATCCTATCTTTCTAGGGGTCAGACAAGTCTTAACATACACAGCGTAGCTTTTTCTTTTTTTTTTTCGTCTCCTTTTCTAGAACCGTAAAGTTCAATGGAAACATTTCGGCGGAACTCCGCCTGGTTAGGTAAGCAATATGAACATGAAAAGCAATCGAAAAGTCGGGTACAATAAATAAATTGGCTAGAGTTTACTATACATACCCCTGTCATACAACGGTGAAGTCAATAAAAAACTAAATTTAATTTACACTGATTCGGAGAATGCATTAGCGAGGTTTGGATTGGAACTGCTGGATATCTGGCTGTTTCTGCAGCGCAGAAGTTTCTACTTTCTTTTTTGGGGGAAAAAAAGATAACGAAAGGTTAGAAACTATGACCATGCCACTAATCGCCTTCTGACAGTACCACTTAGAAGACAAGGTTGGTTTCTTTCATCCTTTCATGTCATCACCGCTGATGATGACGATAATTGATGAAGATAATTTTCAGGCTGTTCCCTTTGAATCGGGTGGTTCGAAGTGCATTGAAACCTAGCCTAGTCACCAATGGCTGTACAAAGCGCCGCCTAGCTACGTCTCGTCCGCGTCGCTGCGAGCCAACACCACTTCGATGAGATGCTAGCAGACGACAACACCAAGACGGACGCGTCTGCCACTTTGTCGGGTACCTGCGTCTTGCTTCAGCGTTATCGACGCTTCTGGCGGGTCAGAGACAAACCGAAGATGACGTAATGACCAGGCCCTTTCCCCAAGTTGGCATTGCTTCTGCGCCCTGCAGTTTTCGTCTGCTGGGCTATGGAACGCGTTTTGAGCATGCGCCGTTGCCATCTTTAGGGGGGGGGGGGGGGGGGGTGGAGAGGGGGGAGATAAAGCGCTGCTCGTGCACTTATATCCCAGTGACTCGGCACTTTTCGTCCGAGTGATAATCGCTAGAAAGTGTTATACACGTGAATAACGGGTTCTTTCGATCTACTATTAGCGGCGAGATGTTTTGGTGGCGCCCTCCTATGGTTCCCCCTTGTGACGTCATTACCTTGCGAACAACAAGTTCGATGGTGTTCGTAAATAGCATGGTGGAAGCCTGAAATCATTGCGCTCTCAAAGCAACACTGCCAACACCACTGAAATTAAAGTTCTTTCATTCCTCTTATTTCCGTCGATGGTATACCCTTCCCGACGTCATAGTCAGCTTTTGGGCCAATCGTGGAAGGCCGACCACAGCGACCCTTTCGGTCGCGCACGTCGCCAATACCTGGCTTCACCGTAGGTCAGAGCGCGCTGAAAGGCTAGAAGACTCACAACCGCGTGCGCAAAGACTAAAGCACAAGACCATGGCACGTTCGCCGAGTTTGATTAGTTTCGCCGTGGGTGATAGCTGCAGAAGGGGAAACTACGGACGTCGCGACATGGCGCAATTTACGAGGCTTCATTGGCTCCATTGGTGCGTAGCCTTCCGGCGCTCTTGACGCGAGGTAAAACGAAATACTATACAGGGAGCGTGCGACGAGACGGTGGCGCCGCGGTGCGACTCCCAGTGGAGTCGTTTGGCCGGAACATCAGTTGGATCGGCGCTCCACCTTTGGGTGTCGCGCGCAACCTATGGTCGAACCTAAGCTTGTGCGCTCGAAGAAATGGGAGCGAACCTCCGTTTCCTTCTGAATTCCTTCAGAACGTTTTTCCCTAGTCTAGCGATATGCTTAGTACTTCTCCGACAAGTAATTACCCTAGTGATACTGGTTCGCCATATAAGGAATCGGTACGATAACCGCTGGCTCGCCGAATCACTGAATTAGTACTAACACATAGACTGACCACAAACAATAAGTTGCTCGATCATTGAATGAGTTATAGGTTAAACCCTTTAGTGGTCAGCACGGCGTTAGCTGCAAGTTTCCTTAGTGTCAACTGAGTCGTTCACCGATTGGCAGTGATCAGGTACTGGCAGCTGGATGTAAGCTGATAGGGACTCGTGCATCAAAAGTACTTTAGGCCACCGTGCCCTTGAAATGATCATGGAATTTTATTTCGTTTTAATTCTAAGTCTTATATTTTTGCTATTCGTGCAGTAGTGCAACGCCATGCTCGCACTGGGATAATCTCGTGTGTATCGGATAGAAGGAAAAACAGCGTTTAGTTTTCTTTGAAAAACACTGGTTTCAATGTCAAGTTTGTCGCTTTTGTCGACTTTAAAAATAAGTTAATTTGGAACGTAACGAATTACTAGAAGTAAAGTTTCGTCGTACGCTGCTTTAAAGGAAAAACTATTGTATTTTTCTAAAAATAAATAAATATGAGGTGGCATCGCCTGTCAAAACAAACCCATCTTCAGCCTAGTTTTACAATTGCCTAAAGCGATCGAGTTAACACACCAGTAAGCATCTGCTTTTCTTTTCTGTAAAACAGGCAAAGGTCGACAGGTTTTTGATGAGAAAACAAATGGAAATAAAACTATCGTTTCAAAATATTCAATTTAAAACAATAATCAAATTAGCAATTTTTAATACTTAAAATTTATCTTTTGAAAGTGGCATCACTTCTCAATGCCGAAACATAAAAAAACTCAACGGGCTCTGGAATTGTAAATGATATAACAGCGCATACATATATCTAAAAAAAAAAAAGAAAAAAACTAAAATAGAATGGATATGAGGCAGCACCACTTAGAGTAAATAGGAAACTTGACCTTCAGGAGAGCAGTTCGCTACTGCTCTACTTCGCGTTAAAAATACCTATATTAATTCACTCCGATCACACGCACCAAGCTTAGATTGCAAGAGGAGGAGGTCACGCTGCGTAAGTGGATTGAAAAAATGAGAAAACGCTGTCGTGATCGTCTGAGAGAAACACGATATCATATTCGTCGTTTTCTAATCTTTCCCAATGAGAGTGGTCTTTCTTTCAGTTTTTATCTGTGTTTGATTCGCAAAAATACAACCACAAAACATTGGCAAAGGCAGGAAGTGTCGGATTAGTACAGACGGCACGTACGTCGTTACGGTCGGACGTGATGGACAGTTTGGCATTGAAGGTGAGGGCCTGTTTAGCACGCAGCTCGCCGACTTGCGTTCGGAATACAGACCAGTGGGACGCGGTTTTTCTGGGGAGCTGTCAACACCGCCGGTACCTTTCACGACCGAGGAAAGTGCTAGAGACGTTTTCCTAATTTGACAAATCCGTACTTCCTCCAGACCTGGCGTGAACGCACAGGTACAAATCGCACCTGAAAGCAGCAGTCGCACTGTGCAAACATCAAGACACGGGGTTCTTCGAAAGGGTCGAGACATGTGTACCTTCTTACGTGTGTACGCTCCGAACACGTTTGCCGACAGCTTTTGTATGAGCAACGTAACAAAATCTTCGTACGAGGAAAACAAAAACAAAAAAACACACACCTAAGACATTGTTTGCAGACTGTCTTTTGTGCGACGAAACTTGCGTTCAGTTGGCGATTCGCTGACTGGCCACGAGGCCCGGCCTAAAGTTGACGCAGCGTTCGGGATACGTCGATCAAACGTTGCGTCAGAAACACAAACGCATTTTTTACGTTGTCGTCGTCCCCATTGGTTTAGTTCGCGACTTTAGCCGTTTAGGGGTCAACGGTTGGATCACCTTCTCCCCAACTCACGGTGTTAGCGAAAAAAAAAAACAAAAAAACTGTTTTTTCCGTCTTACAAAAAAAAAAAAAAAAAAAGAAAGTGCACTTAGCCGAACGCTCATCGTGTGCCTAAATTTTGCACTGGAGCTGGGGAACAGTTGCCGAAGCTTCCGAAATTACCCTTATATAATTAAAAAAAAGACGATTTCAGGAGTAAATGCCTGTTCCTGCTAGGAAACGGCGTTCATTTCCATGTATTCGTGCACTTCGTTGGCCGAAATCGTTTCATTGAACTGTTTCACGAAGAGCTTATATATTTTGTTAACTATCCAGGTCTTCATGTCACTATAGGCTGACGTCGTCGAAACGGCTTCCCTTGAGGACCATGTTGATACAGTTAGCTAATCTTTCTGATTAAATACTAATTTTGAGAAATGTGATATATTTTAATAAACAATGTAGCGGACGTTCTTTTCTTTTTTTTTTTTAACAGATGCAATCATAAACGGGTTTGTATATCCTGTAAACCGTAACTAAGAGTGATGGTACAAAAAGCTGTCAATGACGACAATTTTGCGAGCATAGTTTTGGGGTGTGTGCGTGGCTGGAACCATTTAGAAAAAAAGTATGTGTCTAAAATTGATTGTATTTACGCGCTAGTATTGTTCCATTTCATTGAAAGATTAACAGTGATAATAAACATGTTAAAATTCCGTAAGGCACCCTGTAATCTCAATTTCCGCCTCACCTCCCCTCAATAAAATGTGCTGTTAAAAAAAAAAAAAACGCAAACACGTGGACAAAAAGATAAAAATACCTGCGCACCCCCTCTTATTTAGACCGAAACCTGGATCGGACGAATTGAAATATTGATGTTAAAGTTCGGTTTACGTCTAGGATATATGTTTAAGCGAAACACAATAAAACATAAAATTGTTTCCGAATTAAAAAAAAAAAAATATTGAGGAATATAATCTAGTATTTTTATGACCCCGGAAACGGCAGGTCAAACTGGTTTTACTACAGATCGGCTCCAGACGGCATAATGCTGGAATTTTTTATCTTTTAACGCCAATATTACAGCAAAATTTGCTCTAGATAAGCTAAAGTGCTGAAGATTTGTTTAAGATAAACGACAAAGGTGGGAATAAGCATAAAATTCTAACATTATGTCTCAACAAAATTACGTTTATGTAACATGTTGATCTTGACTAAGTATACGTAGCCTAGATCTATTAAGTCGCTTGGCACAATTGGGAATGTTTTGTCCGCTTTTCCGCATTTTCTAGGCGATTATAATTTTATTGGTTTTGTATCTCGTTTATTTCTGCCGACCAAGCGGGGATGATCACGAAAATTAACTGGTTTTGAATTTGAATAAAATTAACACTGGCAAAAAATACTTCACTAAATATTACAGAATGTTTATACAAAAACAAAATTTGAGAGAAATTCCGCTGCTTTGCAGTGGCATCCTCTATCTTTAAAGAAGAGTGCAACTTGGCCGAAGCTCACAATCCCAGTCCAAATCGTATTCGGCGAAGAGTCGAACTTAATCTGACAATGCGTGTGTTCGAGTTTATTTCCCAGAACAACACCCGCCGTCGTAGTAAGGCCTTTTATGACACATGTCGCGTGCAAGGCTTCTTTTTGAATTTGTCGCCACGCTTAATACCAAGCATAAATAGAGAGTTTTCTCAGATCATTTTTGCCGCCCCGCAACGCTCTCCGCGACCCGCTACCATACCCGGAATTCTACAGTCAAGGCCATCGGCGCGCAGGCGCAGTAGCGGCTTCTTCGTTACGGAGGGCTTCGCGGAGGGGGAAACGCGGTCTACGAAATCTCCTTTATGTTTCAGTGACTCTCAACGTAAACCGATGTCAGCTTCATAACACTACGCAAAGTAAGCAAACGTTGCTGTGTGAACCGGCCTTGAAGGCCGACGACCAGTTCGCGCATTCCGCGTTCCCATCGCTTCCTCCTCTCCCCCCTTCTACCCTGTTCACCATTTCCTGTTTTCTCACGGTAAGGAGGATCTTCTGCTTCGCAGAATCTCGAGTCAGATCGTCGGCCTTTAAGGCTGCATTCACACTGGAGTTCGAATCGTAACCGCGAAGCGGATTTGATCATTTTCATCATCAACTGCGCGTGAATTTCTACTGCATCTTTAAGCAGTCGCGTTCGCTACCGCTTTGCGGATGTGGTTGAGTCGCGAGTGTGAATGCGGTCCAAGTTTTGACGCAGCCGATGTTGTCCGGAGCAGGACACCTTTCCTCTATTCAGACGCTACCTAAACATCGTCATTGTATCGAAACGATTCATGTTTCTGGCAACAGTGTGCCTAGACGCGTTTATAAAACTAATAATAAACAGGTGCCGGCAGTAGTCGATGCGAAGCACTGCCATCACCTAAAGTTTCTAGTAGATGAGAGCTTTTTACAAGTAGCGACATTCTTTGAAGTGCCGGCTACGTGAAGGGTGCAGGTTTTAGGAAGCAAGTGGCGGCGCACAGCAGAACACTGAACAAAATGACGCCATTTTGTTCCAGCGGAATGTGCTTTGTCACTTGTATTGGTTGTGGTTGCTTGTAAAAATAGGTTTCAAGGGACTTTACTATGACCTAAAGTTCCTTGATACTTGTTTTGCAAGTAACGACAACCAATAGAAACAACAAAGCACATCCCGCAGGAACAAAATGGCGGCATTCAGTTCGAACCTCTGCTGTGCGCCGTCATTCGCTTCCTAAAACCTGCACCGTCCCGCAGTCGGCGCTTCAAAAAATGTCGCTACTTGTAGGAAGCTCTCATCTAGGGACTTTACTATCACCAGCCCCGCCCTTCACTAATATGGCTCACGCTCTCTGAGCCGTTACAGTCATCCGCCGGGATTCTTCGATAACCGGCAATTTTCAAATCTGCATGTTTGGTATTGCGGACCAAACAATTTGGGGAACGGTTAAAAAAAGAGTGGTCATTAATCATACATTAGGATCCTCTTTATGCGATCTCCTTGATGCAGCTGCGGTACATCAGATAAGTTGTGGACTGTGGATGATATGCGGAGAGCGTAAGAGAGCATTGACCTTTGCGAGTTCTTGGCGTTCCTCTTGCTTGGCCAGCTTCTCCAGGCGCTGCCGCTGGCGGTGCATGAGGAAGCGTTCGAGGTAGTTGACGCAGGCGTACTCGACGAGCGCGGTGAACACGAAGGTGAAGCACATGATGACGAACCAGTCCAGCGCGGTCGCATAGTCGACGCGAGGGAGCGAAGCTCGACCGCCAAAGCCCATCGTTACCAGGGTGAGCACCGTCGTTGCTCCTGGAATGCAAGCAGGGAAGTCAAAAATAGCCCGGCTCAGACATTACGTTGAATACAGTGAAGGTGCGTAGTACAAATACGTAGTTGCTATCCTGCCACGTAACCGCCACTCCTAGATAATGAAGGGGGGAAAGGGAGCGAGCTGAGACAATAGGTTAAATGCAGTGAAGGCCCAATTGCATTAATAGGCAGTTCCTACGCTGCTACTTAGTCCCGTTTCAGGCAGCGGAAAGAGGGGGGGGGGGGGAGCTTAGACATGAAGTCAAAGGCAGTGAAGGTCCGACTGCACTAATACGCAGTTCCTACGCTGCTACTCAGCCCCCGTCCCCAGGCAGCGGAAAAGTTGTGTGTTTGTGTGTAGGGGGGGGGGGGGGAGAGGGGGGCAGCTGAGTTATGAGGTAAAATGCAATGAAGATCCGATTGTGCTTGTACGGAGTTCTTACGCTGCGACTTAACCCCGTTCCTAGGCGGCGGAAAAGGGAGGAGGGGAATCTTGGACATAAAGTCAAATGCAGTGAAGGTCCTATTGCACTAATACGCAGTTCCTACGTTGCTACTCAGCCCCCGTCCCCAGGCAGCGGAAAAGTTGGGGGGGGGGGGGGGGGAGGGAGGGAGCTGAGCCATGAGGTAAAAGGCAATGAAGATCCGATTGTACTAGTACGCAGTTCCTACGCTGCTACTTAGCCCCGTCCCTAGGTAGCGGAAAAGGGAGGAGGAGAAGCTCAGACATAACGTCAATTGCAGTGAAGGTCCTATTGCACTAATACGCAGTTCCTACGTTGCTACTCAGCCCCCGTCCCCAGGCAGCGGAAAAGTTGGGGGAGGGGGGGGGAGGGAGGGAGCTGAGCCATGAGGTAAAAGGCAATGAAGATCCGATTGTACTAGTACGCAGTTCCTACGCTGCTACTTAGCCCCGTGCCTAGGCAGCGGAAAAGGGAGGAGGGGAAGCTCAGACATAACGTCAAATGCAGTGAAGGTCCTATTGCACTAATACGCAGTTCCTACGTTGCTACTCAGCCCCCGTCCCCAGGCAGCGGAAAAGTGTGGGGGGGGGGGGGAGGGAGGGAGCTGAGCCATGAGGTAAAAGGCAATGAAGATCCGATTGTACTAGTACGCAGTTCCTACGCTGCTACTTAGCCCCGTGCCTAGGCAGCGGAAAAGGGAGGAGGGGAAGCTCAGACATAACGTCAAATGCAGTGAAGGTCCTATTGCACTAATACGCAGTTCCTACGTTGCTACTCAGCCCCCGTCCCCAGGCAGCGGAAAAGTGTGGGGGGGGGGGGGAGGGAGGGAGCTGAGTCATGAGGTAAAAGGCAATGAAGATCTGATTGTACTAGTACGCAGTTCCTACGCTGCTACTTAGCCCCGTGCCTAGGCAGCGGAAAAGGGAGGAGGGGAAGCTCAGACATAACGTCAAATGCAGTGAAGGTCCTATTGCACTAATACGCAGTTCCTACGTTGCTACTCAGCCCCCGTCCCCAGGCAGCGGAAAAGTGGGGGGGGGGGGGGAGGGAAGGATCTGAGCCATGAGGTAAAAGGCAATGAAGATCCGATTGTACTAGTACGCAGTTCCTACGCTGCTACTTAGCCCCGAGCCTAGGCAGCGGAAAAGGGAGGAGGGGAAGCTCAGACATAACGTCAAATGCAGTGAAGGTCCTATTGCACTAATACGCAGTTCCTACGTTGCTACTCAGCCCCCGTCCCCAGGCAGCGGAAAAGTTGGGGGGGGGGGGGGAGGGAGGGAGCTGAGCCATGAGGTAAAAGGCAATGAAGATCCGATTGTACTAGTACGCAGTTCCTACGCTGCTACTTAGCCCCGTGCCTAGGCAGCGGAAAAGGGAGGGGGGGAAGCTCAGACATAGCGTCAAATGCAGTGAAGATCCTATTGCACTAATACGCCGTTCCTGCGTTGCTACTCAGCCCCCGTCCCCAGGCAGCGGAAAAGTTGGGGGGGGGGAGGGAGGGAGCTGAGCCATGAGGTAAAAGGCAATGAAGATCCGATTGTACTAGTACGCAGTTCCTACGCTACTACTTAGCCCCGTGCCTAGGCAGCGGAAAAGGGAGGAGGGGAAGCTCAGACATAACGTCAAATGCAGTGAAGGTTCTATTGCACTGATACGCAGTTCCTACGTTGCTACTCAGCCCCCGTCCCCAGGCAGCGGAAAAGTTGGGGGGGGGGGGGAGGGAGGGAGCTGAGCCATGAGGTAAAAGGCAATGAAGATCCGATTGTACTAGTACGCAGTTCCTACGCTGCTACTTAGCCCCGTGCCTAGGCAGCAGAAAAGGGAGGAGGGGAAGCTCAGACATAACGTCAAATGCAGTGAAGGTCCTATGGCACTAATACGCAGTTCCTACGCTGCTACTCAGCCCCCGTCCCCAGGCAGCGGAAAAGTTGGGGGGGGGGGGGCTTAGACATGAGTTCAAATGCAGTGAAGGTCCGATTGCACTCATGCGCAGTTGGTATACGCTGCTACACAGCCCCCATTCCTAAGCAGGTAAAGAAGGGGGGGGGGGGAGAGGGCAGTTGCTTAGACAAAAAAAAAAAGAAAAAGCTTTTTAATTTTTATTTTGCGTTGACTCAGAGCAGAGCCTCCGCCCTTTTAGAAAAGTTCATAAAGCAACATTGGCGGTCGCTATTCTTGAGAAACGAGGCATGTGATTGGATCCGACTCCTCCCCGAACGGGGATGCAGCCTTCGTATTCGATACGAGCTGAGCCGAGTTCAGGCCGAACTCTGACGCAGTCCTCGTCTCCAATACATGCTCAGAGTATGCGATGAAGCAATTGCGGACTCGGATACTTGGCGTGGAAGCGACTAGATGGTGCTTACTTTTTTATTCGTAACCGCACACTTTATCTTGCTACCTTCTATTATCGATGCCGGGTTATTTTCCAAGTGTACGGGTCACTTGTATGTTCTCTGAAGGTTGGGAAATCCCACGGCCGTGCCCTGTTTTTTTTCAAAATGAACCCCGGTAAAACGACGATTTATATTCCGACCAGGGGTGGCGAATATTCAAAATTTCGAATACGAATCGAATATTATACATTTAATATTCGTATTCGATTCCTAAACTAAGTCCCTGGTATTTTTCGAATATTCGTCGTAACACGAATATTCGAAATCAATCGGCTTCGGTTTAGGCAAGTAAGGCCCATTGCAGCGTCATAGCTCCATGGCGGCTTCAACCTAAACTGGTGGCGTCGGTGTCGATAGCGGTAATCGGCGAGTTTCTGTGCCCTTGTGACTCCTGACCTTCTAAACTGCTCACTTTCGCTTTCGCCCACCGGTGTTATGGCTGATGGAGGTGTTTGCGGGAAACGGTCTGCGAAGTGGAAAAACGAACGGGAAACGGCACCAAAACGAAGAGAGAGGAGCGCTATTTGGAAATACTTTGCGAGGGTGACGGCATTGATGACGCAACGTACGGCATGCGAGTCAACGCTTAAAGCGCCCACAGGTACGACAACACCCCTTTTCAACCATCACAAAGCACATCCTACGTTGTTGAAAGAGTATCGTGGGATTACCGCTGGTACGCCAGGAGAAGATCAATCGACACTGAAGGACGTCGTGCGTCGCATGGAGCCCTTGCCAGACAAGAGAGTACGAGCGCTAAATAACAAGGTGGCCGCTATAATGACGCTTAATTTACAGCCTTACAGAATTCTGGAAGACCACAGCTTCAAATAACTTCTGACAGAGGCCGTTCCCAACTATCGCCTACCATCCTGCTCTTTACACTCTCGCGCGTGCTTGTGCAACGAATATATGACGACAACCGAAAGAAGGTGAAAGGATAGCTCAAAAGTGCCTTTGAAGGCGGCACTACAACTGTTGCCTTCACAAGCGACATGTGGACATCGCGCGCTAACGAAAGTTACGTGAGCTTCACCTGGCCATCTTCTCACTCCAAAATTCGAATGAAAGGATTCACATTGAAAACTCGACATATGGCAGCCAGTCACAGTGCTGGGAACATTGCAACTATGCTGGATAAAATGTGCCGTGACTGAGAGATACCCGATGATGTGCGAAGTTCATCGTAGCGTATAACGGGCTCAACAATCGTGCTGCAGTAAGGAGACTTCCGTGGACGGAAAGGGCGTGCTTCGCGCATACGCTTCAACTGGCGATTATTGACGCGAGATCCCGTTCGCCGGCCATTGATCGCCTGTGCAAGAAAGTGAGGCATATTGTGGGACATTATAAGCACAGTTCATCAGTTCAGAAAAAGTTTGAGGAGTGCCAAAGAAGATGGGAAAGGACACAATACGTCTGATGGAAGACGTGCAGATGAGATTAAATAACCAGTATCTAACGTTGTCTTGCCTTCTGGAACTCAAAGAAGCAGTCACTGTAGAGCTTGCTATACCTCGGACAGTGACATCGATGGACTTGGTTCATTAGAGTAGAAAGATACTTCTGAATATGTCCAATCATTGAAGCCATTGTTTGATGACACTGCTATTGTGAGTGCTGAGAAGCATCCGTCTTTGTCCTCCCAAGTTTCAATGATTTTTGGTATGCCACACTGTCTAGGTAACTGAGCTGGGGCATCCGAATTTCCCACAGAACGGATAAGATCCATCAAGGCAAGGTTCACTCTGTATAAGGAGGGCAAGGAAGCATGCCTTGCTATGTTCTTGGACCCACGCTTCAAGTCCACTATTTGTAAAGCTGAAACGGAAAAATTATGGCTAAAAGCTCTGGTGCTGCAAGAGCTAGCCTCATGTGATGGTGCTGAAGAAACCGAGCCGGAAGCTGCAACACAGTCAAAAGAGCAAGGCTCAACGCCGTCAGCAATGTTTGGCAAGCATTGGGCCACTTAGCCAAAAGTGCAATGGAACGCAAAGTGGTTTCAGCTTCAGAACGGGAAGTTGTACCGTTTGCGGAGAAGGTACTGCTAAAGAGAGAGAGTGATCCATGTGACTGAGGCGAACTGCCGGGTGCTCAAGATATCCGAGTCTGGCGAAGCTTTGCATCAAATACCTGTCAATACCTGCTACTTTAATGCCGAGTGAGAGATTTTTTTTTTCTGTGGCTGGAGGTGTAGTTTCCGCTCGAAGAGAGCGCCTCCTACCTGACCGTGTGCAGCAGTTGATTTTTCTGCATGACAACTTGTGATCTTCCCTACAACTAGAATTTTTGTTTTTGTGTTTTTATTCTCGTTAACACCAGTGCCTCACTGATGCTGACGAGAATAACAACACAAAAAAGAAAATTCTAGTTATAGGGAAGATTACAAGTTGTCACCCAGAAAAATCAACTACAGTTCAGCAGTTCAAAAAAAAAATTAAAAGAAAAATCAACTGCAGTTTCGATATGGGAAAATAAAAATTCTGTGAAAAAATGCACCCGCCTTCGACTGTTCGATATTCGATTCGATATTCGAAGCTAACTATTAGTATTCGATTCGTATTCGAAAACATTAATATTCGCACACCCCAAATTCCGACACGTATAATAGATACTGAAAAACACCAAATCTGCGGTGGAAGAATATGAAATCCCGTTAAAACACTTCACACTTTGAAAAAAAAAACAAAAAAAAACATCAAGAAGCGCGAAAGCACGGAAACCTATACTTGAAACCAACTGGCCGTGACAAGCCGAGTTCCCGAAGCGGTCGTGTGGCGGGAGTTATACGGAGAGCAACTGAGGGAGAGGAGGAGTTGAGAAGGCGCGGGAACGTCAGAGTTTAGAACTCCGATTGAAAGGTCAGTGGGTGGACGGAATGGCTGACTGCTTGTGTCTCTACACCAGTGCTGTACGGACTGGCGTTCCAAGGAACGGCGTTCCTGAAACGCGTTCTTTTTAGGAGGGAAGAAAGAACGCCACCGTTCCATTTTGCATCGGTGGAACTAGAACGCGAAATCGTTAAATTTTGACTGGAACGAAAAAAACAACGGCATTGCGTTGATTTTTTTTCTGATAGGGTAATTTTTATTTTATTTCTAAGAGGGAGATTCTGAAAGTATAAAAACAATATCTTTACGAAGAGCAGGATCTGGTTAACGTTTTGGTTGCTTAGCTTATGGTTTATTTTGTGTGATCCTCACTTGGTAACAATTGGCTACAGGAGAGCTAGTGAAGGCTGATTCTTTTTTCAGTGCCCGAGGCTGCGGTATAAAAAGCAAAACCTTTGGTCAAAGCAAAAGCCACAGAAACAGGGACGTTTCAAACTCAGCTACCTTCTTTGCTTCCACGAATCCTCACACACAGAAATCTAAGGCCGACTACAGCAGTCAATGAACTTCCGCAAAGAGACCTACAGTTACAACTAAAGAGCAAGTTACCAGACATCGAACGCACTCTTCTATCCCGAGCATTGCTCACATAAAAAAAATACACGAAAATTTACCGTGTTTCCTTCTCCCCACGTCCTCCACCTTCAAACTGAACAACGAATCCAACCTTCACGAAGAAGGACTTGTAGTTTTCAAGCCTGATCTCCCAAAAGCCCAACCCTCTTCTTCACTTGCTCGTCTTGCAGACAGCAACATCGGGAAGCAACTGTTGTTTAGTTCGAACAAGTTATTTTGTTAGATTGAAACGCGTAAGATTGTTGTAAAACGCTCGCGCAATGTAGGGTAACAGTACATTTGTATCGTCTGAGTCACCTACCGCAAACATGAATATGGGTTGAAAGCAGTGTTTGTACGCGTTCCTCAATAATAGGAACGAAAGATTGTTCCTCGTTCCTTCCGATTTTTGGAACGCGTTCCCGTTACAAGTTCCATGTGTGAAGAAGGAACTCGTTCCCGTTACAGGTAAAAAAAAATATGGAACGTATCGTTACATATACGTTACATTTGTATTTTGCTGATTACTATATTTAGCTAGATCGAGGAAAGAGTTTTTTTATCTATCACGTTAAATGGGAACATGGGAATTTGAATGCCGTGTCGGAAGGGCACCAGGAGAAGAAAACAAGCGGAAGCGGGGTTTCATTTATTGATATAGTCATCTTTAAAATCTCTGCTCTTAACAATATTAATGTTTGTGGTGTGCGATTCAGGCAAGCCAAATGTACTGCTATCCCATATTGCATGAGCGTTTTACTACAACCTCACACGTTTCAATCTAACAAAGTCCCTTGTTCGAACTTAACAACAGTCGCTTCTCGATGTTGCTGTCCGCAAGACGAGCAAGTGAAGAGGGTGGGGCTTTTGGAAAGTTCGTCTTGAAAACTACCGGTCCTTGTTCGTAAAGGTTGAATTCGTTGTTCAGTTTGAAGGTGGGGGCAAGGGGAGAACGAATAAAAGGTAATTTTTGTATAGCTTTTAAGTGACCCAAGTTTGAGATACAATGTGTTCGATGTCTGGTAACCTGCTCTTTTGTTATAACTGTAGGTCTCTGTGAAAGTTCAGTGAAGGCTATAATCGACCTTAGATTTCTGAGTGTGTGAGGATTCGTGGAAGCAAAGAAAGTAGCTGAGTATGAAACGTCCCTCTTTCCGTGTCCTTTCCTTGGACTAAAAGTTTTGCTTTTTGTGTCGCAGTCTCGGGCACTGAAAAAAGAATTGATGTCCACTAGCTCTCCTGCACCCGACTATTACCAAGCGTCGACCACACAAAAATAAACCCTAAGATAAGTAACCAAAAAGTTAACAAGATCCTGCTCTTCGTAAAGATATTGTTTTTAAACTTTTATAATGTCCCTCTTTGAAATAAAGTGAAAATTACTCCACTGGACGAAGAAAGGGAACGCCGTTCCTTTTTTCGTTCCAGTAAAATTGCAACGAGTTCCCGTTCCAGTTCCACCGATGCAAAATGAAACGGCAGCGTTCTTTCGTTACTGCTAAAAAAAACGCGTTCCAGGAATGCCGTTCCTTGGAACGCCGTTCCATACAACACTGGTTAAAAGCTGAGATTTCTAATGATGAATATATTAAGAAACAAAACTCAGGTTTCGCTTGTTTTTTTCTCCTGGTGCCCTTCCATAGCGGCGTGCAAATTCTTATGTTGCCAGTTGATGGGATAGATAAAATACTAAAACTTGGCTCGATCCAACTCAATATGGTAATCCATAAAATACAAATGTAACGTACATGTAACGATGCGTTCGTTTTTTTTTTTTAACTGTAACAAGAACGTGTTCTTTTTTTAGATATGGAACTCGTAAAAAGAACGCGTTCCAAAAAATAAGAAGGAACAAAAAACGAGCTTTCGTTCCTTTTTTTTAGGAACAAGTATAACACTGCTTTACACTTGTTCGAACGCCGACCTCCGTCATCCGGGCTTCCAACGCGAGTCACGGCTCGAGGAGCAGACGGCGGTCTGTTCTGATTGGAGGACGGTAGAGACGGAGGCAGCTAGCCTTTACTTCTACCCACTGATCCTTCCAATCAGCGCTTGGCGCCTTGACGTCACAGAACCCTCTCATATCCTCTTCGATCTCTCAGTTTTTCTCCGTTTGTTTTGCGGTCGTCCTGGGTGCCGGGTTGGAGATCCACAAACGATGACGTCGTGTACGGTCCCCTCGTGTTCTACAGCTGCTGTTGTACTGACCCACGGACACCCGACCGGCCGCGTCGCTGCGGTTGATCCAGAAGGCGACCCAGGAGGCTCCGACGATGAGGGAACAGGGTGCGTAGATCTGAAGGATGAAGTAGCCGCGCCGGCGACTCAGGATGAAGCGCGCCATCAGGGAGGACCGGACCTCTGCGGAATCCAAATAAGACGCCTTGGTATTCAGCAGTCACAACCACTAATATCACAAGCACTGATAATAATATTAATTAAAACAAATGTTTAGGAGCAGTTTCTTTTTTTTTTTCAAGTCTGAGTAAAGTTGTAGTTACACTGCACATACATCATTCGAAAGGCTGTGTTTGCTCCAGGCACAATGACAAAAATATCTGCGGACAGGCCTCAAGAATGAATAAAGTTCGTTTGATTCATAGATGTCTATATGCTTTGAACACGTCTGCAGGCAGAATTTGTATGGCCAACGTGAAAAGGACCGCCTTAGAAGAAAGGGACACGCCCCAGACAGTAGGGAGTTTTAGGGAACCGTCTTTGGACGTCCGGTTCGCTACGATGGGCCGTCCGGTACGGACTGCGGAGTGCGAGACGCTTCTGCGGTAGCGCACGCGCACTGCGTACCGGAAGAACTATCGCACCGTATCGGGCGTGCGAACGCGGTTCCCTAAAACTCCCTAATGTTTCCAGACTGTCTTCTGTACGATGTATTAGCGGTGCGACCATGCCCTGAGGGGCCGGTTTACGGACTCGCGACTGCTTACGATAGGAGAGGCTTCAAAAAACCGGTTGTGGTGCCGTCGGTCGTATACGTCGAACGCTAGTGTGAACCAGCCTTTGTACACTAACACGCGCCTCCGACGCCACGCGGCGCTGACGCCAAACCGATGCGGTGGCGCTGGTGTCGGCGCTACGCGTGCACAGACGTTATATTTTCACGTGAATATACTTTGTGCGCATGCGCAAAACCCGCAATTAACGCAAAAAATACGATTTTTTATTTTGCAAACAGCGTGTTTGTTTATAATGTACGGAATGGGGAGCATTTAAGGAGCGCTAGTTTTAATCTGTTTTAAATCAGATTAGACGGGTGTTTTGGGGCACGGCGGGGTGGGGGGGAGAATTGAAGAACATTGTCGTAGTCATTTTAACCATCCCTCTAAATTTAGCGGAGAAATTAACGCCGCACAAGGTGGTTATGCGATGTGACATCACCGTTTCAAGGTAGGATGTGACGTCATACAATGACGTCACGCGACGCGCAATTTTCTCGCTAAATTTAGCGGAGCAATGTACGTACAGACGGGCACATTTCTGCGAGGAAGGGGTTCCGTTACAGATCATTTTCCTATTTCGCGGGCGTGGTCGGATGCTCACTGTATCCGTTCCACAGCGCTTGCAAAGATGGCAGCGGGCGAACATTCCCGCATGCGTGGCCGAGTGGCAACGCACCAGACTCGCAAGCAGAGGCCCCAGGTTCGATTCCCGAGGGCAGCGCAACTTTTATAACGAAAGTTCCGTGGCCCTCAGGAACTGACCCTGGGGCCTCTGCGCGCGAGTTTGTTCCCCTGCCACTCGGCCACGCAGGCGAAAATATTCGGAATAGCCTTTGGCTGAAGCGAGCGGGCGGGATAAATGGCTTTCAAGGACTCGCCAGCGCGCTCGTAGCAATCACCACGCATCAACGACTTAAAAAGAAAAGAAAACACACACGCACACACACACACGCGCATTTGTTTTTTTGTTTTTGTTTTTTACTGCACCGCCCGTGAGGGCAGAACTTTCGGGAAATAGGTTTCATCTACCCGCGCTTGATTGAGTGGTGTTTCGCCGAAAATGATATTATGTAGGGACTGCTTAGAAATAAATATATATATATATATATATTTTTTTTTTGTAAATAATGTAATGACAAGCACGAACTTCAGAATTAGGTTTCCTTCTACAGAAACTTAAATTGACAATAAATATTAAAATGAAAGAATAAAACCAGGTTTGTTTGTTGTCGTATTTGACACAGGGAAGGTAACCACCCTGCGGCATTGAAAGAAATAAACTAAATCACCACTTTCGCAGTGCAACGGTGGATTGCGAAAGACGTAGCGTAAAATAAGGTGGCAAACGGACGCACGAAACGTCATTCTTCCATTGGATTACCGAGTGGCGGAGGGCAGCGAACGACGCAGCAGGAATTACAATGGCCTTCTTGGTGACGCGTGTTCGCTTGCTCCTCGAAATACCAAACGCCCCACAACACAATGGTTCGTTCAGTACGTGCTCTTCAGTCAGTGACGGTGTAAAAGTCAAGGGAGCTTCGCCCAGCGCTTCCCACCTTAGCAGAACGAACGACGAAAAGGAGTGCGCCTTCTTTCCAGCGTTCGTTCTGCTATCTCCTCTCATTTGTTTCAATGTTCGTATAATTGTACGTTCAGCTGGTTATTCTCAATGGATAACCAGCTAGCTTAGCTCATACCCGTTGTAAATTGAGGCTACCGCAGTTCTAAGCTGGGAGTGTGGGGGAAGTTACGTGATCGAAATTTGTTTAAAGTAAGAAACATTAAAAAAAAAAAAAAATCTCGATATCGTTACACCGCTCATTCAAACTGACAGTGCGGTGTGAGCTAGGTGCTCGTTACACCAATCAGTCACCTTTTTTTTTTTTTTCATCTCCTGAGCTTATTTTTTCCGCATGGGTTTGAGCGAGAGCGTGTTCACGTGAGTAAAAATAGAGGTATAAACCTCTGCTCATCGATGAGTTTCGTCTCCGAAGATCAAATATAAACTCGCGTTTCGACGTGCACTTGTTTCGATTGCTCGTGTTGGTTCTGATTGAACACGCTTGCGTTTTGTATTGACATTTGTTACGTTCGGTTTCTCATGTATCGTTCAGTAGTGTAAGTTTTACTTACGTTTAATGATTTTTCTTCCCTTAACTGATGTAGTGACTAAGACATAAATGTCTTGCATTTCATTTCATTTAATTTTATTACATCAAAATAAATCTCTTACGTTCGATACACGCGTTTCATTTCGCTTGACTCGGCACGCAGACGTTGTCACACTCAAAACGTGCGGCCGTGTCGTTTACAAAACGTATCCGTTCTTTTTTCTTTTTTTTTTTGACATGCGTATTAATTATTTTTGTGACGAGTAGTCAGCGGCATCTGCCGTAAATCACGCGCGAACATTGTGTCCCTATGTTTGATTTTACGGAACGTTGCAGCGCGTATATCTGTCACGTTTTCTTTAGTTATGATTTAGTAGATAATATATCGCCGGACGTTTTTGAGCCGATCCTCCATGTGTCGGCACCAATGCCACATAGAGGGCCCGCTCGTGACGTCATCGTTAGTGGACCCCCGACCGACACGCCCCAGGTGTGAAACGCTCTGGAGCTCGACAACAGACGCTGCAAAGCGGCCGACGCGGCCGTCTTGGCGTCGCCGCGAGATACGCGGAGAGAAAGTTCGTCTGCTTTTTGCGCAGCAGTTGCGGCGACGTCACAACGACGCCGAACTCTCATTGGCTTTGATTGAGAGGATAGTGGGTAGACCTCATCGCTAGGTGCCTCGAGGTCTACCCACCATCCTTTTTTCCAATCAGCCAATAAGAGCTCGGCGTTCTGCCATCATCGCAACCCCTGTGCAAGAAGCAGACGAACTTGTATACCGAATAACGTCGCGTTCGTAGCGAGGCCCTCCAAGACGCGCTAGCGACGATGTCGACGCAAGGCAGGCGGCGCTCTACTTAGACCCACTATCGATGACGTCGGGACTTGTCTTCTAAGTTGTGTCGGTCAGCGGCACTCACCTCCGGCCGGTCCGTACGTGGTCAGGTTGGCGACGGTGATGTTGAGGAACTCGTACTGGGACAATGTGACGTCGGAAGAGATGTCGACCGGTTTGGGTCCCTTCCACTTGAACACCACTTCCTTGGACGAGTACGCAACTGCCGTGGCGATTTCATTCGAAAGAAGGAAAAACCCAACGTGTTAGTACGGTGCGAGCGTACGTTATTAAATCGACTCAGCTGTGGAACTCCCGCCGAGGGCGGTACCCCCCCCCCCCCCCCCCCTTCTATCACCCTCAAGCGAGTCTCCCTTTGATCAAAATGACATCTAGGGGTTTCATTTAAAAACTGCATTCTTCGTAGACGCTACAGTGAAGCGCCACTTGGACGCTGTGCTTCAAAACCCGTATAACTGTAATTAAAATGTCAACTACACCCGCCCCCCTCAAAAGGGAAAAAAAGAAAGCGGCGTCTATGGGTAGATTCGTTGCCGGGTTGATCTAATAACGTTGCACCAAACGCATCTATGCACTTGCACGCGGGTGCAGTTCGCCCTCTTCCCCTTCAGGTATTATTCTGTATGACCACACGTAAGCTCAGCCCCACGATAAGAAAGAAACGTGCGCTTACGTAACGTCACACACAAATTCAAACGCGGTCACGTCTGCATGCGCGCACATGCTCACTTGTAAATGCACACTTAAAGGGAAGCTCCGCCGATTTCAATAACTCTTCAACTGATAGCCATAATATTTTATAAAAATAAAAAATTTCGGGGAAGTTATTGAATTTGTTATCTGGAACCGCGAAGGTTCCAGATAACAACTTTTTTCTGGCCAAAAAAAAAAAAAATCCCTACTTTTCCCTACCCGTATACCTCACCAACGGGCAGGCGGACAAGAGACTTGGGCAGACGGCTTTCCGGGCGCCAGCGATCGAGATTATTTTTTCCCAACTACAAGGCTCAGAGTTTCTTTGCAATGAGCAGCAATCTGTGCTCTGCGGTAGATTGTAACAACAGTGCCGGGAAAAGCTCCTTTTTTACCCTTGTTCTCGTGAGAGAAAAAAAAAGCGCTTATTGGCAGCAATGGAGGCTAGCCACGTCAAGATGCTTTTGCGCGAGCTGTGTGTCAAGTTAACTAGTGTCACATGAAACATTCTCACTTATGCCTTAAATACTTCATAGTGGTGTGCTGCGAGTTGAGTATCCTTCTGTCAGCTGGAACAGCTTGAAGAGCGGCAAGCGCAGGCTCAAGCCGGCTGTAACCACTACTACATCCGTCCAAAAAAGAGCGCTAAGAATATCTAGAAAAGTAGAGCACATTCTAGCACTATAGTCGACATTTGAGGCGGTCCCTGTTGTTGTTTACAATTGCTTCAGTGTTTTTTTTTTTTTATCGACAATATATTTGTTTCGGTCATTGAGCCTAGTTCGGGTTCTCGGAGTTCTACTCAAGGGGCCGATCTGTTGAAGACGAGAAGTGAAACGTCTGAACAAAGGTCACGTCTGAGTTTAGACGGGACTTTCTCGACACAATGCTATTCGTGTCTTGTATTACAGAGGTTTAGGGAGCCGGTGTTGATAGAATCGTTGCCTGATTTGTCAAATGGTTGGCGTGCAATATTCTCTCTTGTAATAGGTGGTGGAAACGTCCTAATTTTATTTTATTGCGGTGAAATGCTATATAGGGCTGATTTTTTTTTTTTTAACCATAAAAATATTACGTTCGTTGAAGGGGAGGCATTGTCAAATTTACAGCTGATGTAGGCTGTTAAAAACCGGAATTTAATTTTAGAATATTCGTGTATAGATTTATCCCTTTGTCATGTGCACTCGTAGATAATTGTGCCTGTTGCATGCGAAAATAATAAAAAAAAATAATAAAAATAAAAATAAAATATGGTACAACTTTTTTTTTTTTTTGGGGGGGGGGGGTAACTTTTGTTAACTTATTTTGAATTAACCATTTTATGATGCATTTCTGTACGTCACGCACTATTGTATCTTCAAGCAAATATTCTTTATTTGAAGATGAATAGTGTATTCGTGCATTTTATGCGCCTTTCATCGCACCTTGGCGTTTGGCTTGGTGGTTGCGGAGTTCCGTTAATTTTCATTTTAGCACGATCCTCATGAACAGTAACATGCCATCTGGCCCCCACCAATGTATTTCCCTCCATGTTATACATTTTAATGTTCACCAGAATCATAGTCTACATGTGTTAGGTCACAGCCTGCTGCACGCGCACGTTCGCCCCTTTGGAAGGCGAGCGAAGTACGCGCCAGTCGTGCGTACGCTGAAAACGGCACCAACCAGAAGCGCTTTTCTGGAATGGTTTATAGATATTTCGCTAAATTACACTAAGGAGCGTATGCATGCAACAAGAGTAATTGCACGGGCATGCGTCCGCAACAGAAACTCTGCTAAAGAAATTCTAGAATAAATGGCACGTTCATTCGGGTAAGACGAGCGTGTGGGGCACCTGTACCCACACGCTCGTCTTACCGGAATGAACCCCGAGCATTCTCTGTGGTGCTTGGGTAATTTGTTAAAAAAATGTATTGCGTGAATCTTTCAACTTTCTTTTCGGGTGTAGCCACCAGCTTTTCATAGAAAGAGAACGGATTTGCTACCAATTTCACGAAACTAGCGAGGCGCGGCTTGCATGAGCGTACCGAGTTGCAAAAGCGTTTTTTTTTCTTCAAAATCCAAAATTGCTTTTGTGTTTTTAATCCGAAACCATTAACTGCCTATGGAACGAAGCCGGCGTTGTCTGCAACCGTCTGTAGCAGCGAATCGGCAGCTAAATTCTCATTTTTAGCAGCGAAAAATGGCAGCTAATTTCGCATTGGCTGCGACAAGTGATAGTTCCAAGGAACGCCACCCCACGAAAAAGCCCTCTCCCGGCGCTGCGACCCGCTCGCCGATAAAAGAGATAGGATGACGCGCGCGCGGCCGCCGCTCTCTCCTCCCTCTGGGGTCACGTGTTAGGCGTGACCGGAAAAAAAGCGGGGGGGGGGGGGGGGGGGTGGGGGGGGGGAGCGGGAGTGAGAAATTCACACTCCCTCTCCCTGTGCACTACTGTGTCACGTGTTCTACGTTCTGCTTACAGGCATGTCCCGCCGCCCGCCCGGTTTTCACTTAAGGACCGTGGGGCGCGCTAGTTGTAGGAATGTGCTGCGTGTAGGAATGCTTTTGCATTCCTACATGTAAGCAGTCTTAAGTGTCCTCCTGTATATTTTACTTTCTCATAGTTCAGCACGTAGGCCAAGGTCATACTTTTTGCAACTACAGATTATTATCAACTTCAGATACCACGAACGCCCCTGTTTTCTCGCTGTGAGACGCGAGACAGGCGGGCGCGAGCGTACCCGATTGCCGGCCGCGCGCCTTGCGGCCCGCCCGTGACGTCACGTTTGAATGGTGAGGAAAAGTGTGGAAAAATTGGGGAGAACGAGATAGCATTTCGGAATGAGGATGCCATCTCAATTCAGATGATGCCTTTGGATCAGGTAGCTAAAATAATCGGCGGAGTTGCCCTTTAAGTGTACAAACATAAATGCACTTAGAAAAAAAAAGAACTAAAAAATCAGCGGCTACCGAGGGGTAGGTTCGTGGAGCTTTATTCCTGTGAATCTATTCCTATCTTTTTTTTAAAAATCTATTCTGACATGATTCTACCTAAATCTCGACCGGTAAATATTCCATTTAAATTAACGAGAGTCGAATCCATGTGCTGTAAACCACGAATTTAATAACAACTTAAATCATCTTGAATTGTTCTCTCCAACCTTCGGTTACTCCACATGAACGTACAAGCGAACGCAGGCAAGCGCGCACAAAACACTAAAACAACGCAGGCACACATTCAAGCACGTACGCACGCATTAAGTATAACCAAGAGATAACAGTTCGATGTGGCACTACTTACAGCTTCCTATCTCCAAGGGGCAAGCTTGGGTGTCCAAGGGGTATTTTCTGAGATGCATTGGGCAACTTGCTTTGATGGTCAATCTGGATCGGAAATGTGACTGCGTTCGTTATCCGCACTGACTTGACGATGAACTTCTGCTAGTTAGCAAAATCGTATAGACCTCAAAGAGGAAAAAAAGGTCGAATTAATTTATTATACTTTATGAGCCATAAAGATAATGGCGAATGACAAGAAGTGCGTAAACTGGGTGCAAACTTTGTTTTAACTAGGAACTCGGGGAAGATATAGGCTTGTTAAAATATCACCGTACAAGCTGAAAGTAAAAAATGCCGTTGCGAGACCGAGCTGAGCACTACTGCGACCAGATTCTAAGTGCCGTAAAACACCGCAGAAGCGCGCACTGTTAACATTTCCCAAACTTGTAAATATTGTAAATTATGCGTTAAACGCCCGATTTGACCGGACAAGCGCCCATGTCTGGATCAGTGTTGTACACGCTCAAAAAAAAAAAAAAAAAGGGAACAAAAGATTGTTTTTGTTAGAAGTTTCATATGTGAAATCGGAACTTGTTCCCGTTACAGTTAAAAAAATGGAACGCTTCGTTACATTTACGTTACATTTGTACTTTGCTGATTAGCATATTTAATTAGATCAAGAAAAGCTTTTTTTATTTATACCATAAAGTGGCAACATACAAATTTGACTGCAGTGATAATAGTACTAATTGTCTTTATTTTATGTGTCCACAAACAGCGCAGGGTCTTTTGTGCGGTACACAGCAAATGCCGACAAGCTAAAAGTATAAGCACTGAGAAAACATAGCTATCCCAAGAAAGCACTCACAAAACAAGCATAAAACACACAGCGACATCTGAGAAGCAAGATACGGTAAAAGAAGGGGTACTGAAAATACAAATACAGCAACCCCCCCCCGCCCCCCCTTCCCCCCCGCCCCCCCCCCCTTCCCCCTTCCCAAAAAAAGAAAAAAAAAACGCTTTAAGTTACAAATTACTGGAATCATGCAAACAATATACTCTCTAGATTACGCCGAAAAATTGACTTGTCACTGAATATTTCTAGGAGCAAACAATCCAAATTATTAAAATCATGCTGCATTTGTATTAGGGGAGACGTGTGAAAGAACGTGGGTGGAGAGAAAGAGTTGAGATTACGGCTCGAACGTGGTGGGGCGTGAAAACATACAGCGCTTAGTAAGACAGGACAGTCGACAAGCGCATTGACAAGTTTGTGTAAAAACAAGATATCCCGACAGCGCCGTCAGTCAAACAGAGTACATAATCCAAGACTCTTGAGCAGCCGATCGTGATTATAAAAAAAACTTACGTAAAAAAAAAAAAAAAAAAAACGATTGAAAAGATGCAAGTAAAACGGGTCTGTACGCGCTCAATGGAGCGAGATGCTATATCATTTATACAAGTCCACACTATATATGCAAACTCGAGTTTTGAGCGAATTAGGCAACAGAATAAGCGAACGATACATGAATAGGAAAAAAATTGTCTTGTGAAACCTGAAATTGCTCCCAATGTTCTAAGTGATGCGTTGCATGTGAGAAGCAGTCTAGCAGCGGCAACGGCAGTACCTTCTTGCCCTAATACGTCGCACTTACAATTCCAGCTCCAACTGACCGCTGAATTGCTTCGTTGCTCCTGGACGCCGCCGACTACTGCAAGTTATCACCCGACCGCCATTGGACAGCGACAAAGAGGCTGAGCGACGTCACCACGCTAACGCGGATAAAACGACTGTCTTCAAGACGGCGCATCAGAAGCAGTCTAGCAGCGGCAACGGCAGTACCTTCTTGCCCTAATACGTCGCACTTACAATTCCAGGTTGGTGCATTGCTTTTTTTTTTCTATTTCCTTAAACTTATAAGTTTCACTGCCATTGCTGCGGCTACTGCTACCACTAAATTCGGATTGTTTTAGTGCGATGTCATCCGATGAAGGGGATTCAGCATGTATAGCGTGCGATGAACCCTTGCCAAAAAGTGACTCACTTATGTGTTGTGCTGAATGTGAGTTTAGCTTCCACTTGGGGGCGTGTTCGGGAGTGTCTAAAAGCGCATTCAAAAAGAAAAGTGCTGCTTCGAAGGAAGCCTGGACGTGTCTAACTTGTAAGAAAGCAAAAGCAAGAATTGATTCAGTAGGTGAAAATCCCAAATCAAGCAACGAAAAAGATGATGGAAACACACTTGCGGAAATAAGTAGAAAACTCTCTGTTTTGATGACACTACACGCAAAAGTTGACGCATTGATGGAAATCAAGAACACTGTTGAAGGAATCGAGCGCTCGGTCCAGGTCATGTCTGACCAGTATGACGTACTGCTTACCGAAGTTAAGCAGCAGAAAAACGAAATCAGCGAGCTAAAAAAGCGTATCGAGAGGGTGGAAAAAACTGGCGACACCGAGGTCCAACAGCTCAGGCGCGAAGTGAACGATCTAGAACAGTACAGTAGAAGACAGAACATTGAAGTACACGGGCTGGCACCTTCCGCAAATGAAAACTTACTGGGTCAACTAAACGCGCTCTCGGAACAACTTCAGTTACCAAAGCTGACTGAGCAAGATATCGAGGCAGCACACAGACTCCCCCCCAAGTCCGACAAAGTTCCAGTCATCTTAGTGCGATTTGCGTCACGTCTCACCCGAGATAAGTGGCTACAGGGAAATGCGCGCCTAAGGCAGATGAAATCTACAGTGCGAATCTATGAAAACCTGACAGCTCAAAACAAAAAGTTATTCTGGCAGATTAGGACCAAAACCGCTGAAAAGGGCTATCGATTTGCATGGCACAAAGAAGGAAAGATGTTCGTGAGAAAAGCTGCCGGTGACCGTCTTGTCAGGATAGCACGCGAAGATGACCTGGAACTGATACGTTAATCAGAAACGCGAAGTTCACTTTTACTTTTATTTTCTCAATAATGGGTAGTTGTTCCACAGAACACAGTTATTATGATAACAATGCGTTCAGAAATCTTGTTAATGGAAACATTGCACACAATGACAATAGATTATCTGTATTTCATTTAAACGCAAGAAGCATTAGAAACAAATGTGACGAAATTGAACAGTTACTTGACTGCCTAGAACTAAGCTTTGATATCCTAGCATTCACTAAGACATGGCTTACGAATGATTCACATATTCCTGAATTTAACGGTTACTACCATACAGAAATATTTCGAACTGGGAAAAAAGGTGGGGGAGTGTCCCTTTACTATAAAAGCTACTTGGCATGCAGTGTTATCTCTGAATATACTCGTGTCTGTGCGAATTTTGAGTGTCTTCTTGTAGGGTGTCGTGATTACATTATAGGTGTTGTGTACAGACCGCCATCCCGATGGCCTAGTGTTTTTCTAGACTTCTTACAAGAAATTTTTCAGTATGCATCTGAGAGTAAACTTTCTATGATACTAGTTGGTGATTTTAATATTAATCTGATGTTGTCTGACTCATGGCAATTAGAATTTTTAGATCTCGTGCAATCACATGGTTATGAAAATGTAATTGATTGTCCTACCCGCGTTACATCTGAGACGGAAACTTTAATTGATTTATGTTTGATCAATGCAATGAGAAATGACGTAGTATCTGGTGTACTGACGGTGGATTTAAGTGATCACTTACCTCTCTTTTGCTTTCTTCCATGCGCAAACGTCGGCTACAATAAAATGAATATAACTAACCCTTATTATCGAGACATAAACGATTATAGTATCGAACGCTTCGTTACGCTTGTATCGGCAATACACTGGAATGATATATACAATGAGCCAAACCCTAGTAAGTCCTACGATAAGTTTATAGAAAAGATAAAAGAAGCCTATGAAGATGCGTTCCCATTTAGGAAAGCCAAAAGACACAAGAAATCACGGAAACCCTGGATTACCGTAACACTTCTCAAACGAATTAATGAGCGAAATAAACTTTACGACACATTCATAAAAACAAAAGACCTCGATATACTGGCTGAATACAAAAAGAAACGGAACAAGTTAAACTCCGACATAAAAAAGGCGAAAGTAAACTATTATAAAAATAAATTCATTACAATTCAACATAATCCAGTGAAAGTATGGAAGACGGCAAAAGAACTGATGTCCAAGTCAAGCAGTACCATCCCCAATGTCCTTAGAATAGATGACGTGGATTATTCTGGTAGAGAACTTGCAAATCTATTTAATGCTCATTTTTTGCTTTCGGGCGCCCCGACCTTCTCCTTACAACAGGAAAGAAACTTTGAATTTCATACCCGCGTATGTTTGCAACAGTCTATATTTTTGTCACCAACCACAGACTGAAGTGCTTAACGTAATAAATTCAATAAGAAACAGCGGCGCATGCGGCGATGATGAGTTGAAAGTTAAACCTATAAAAGCAATTGCTGGGGTAATATGTCAACCACTATCAGCAATCTGCGATAAAATATTAAGCACCGGGATATTTCCTGCTCAATTAAAAATCGCCCGAGTATCAGTAATACACGAAGGTGGTCCACTTCATAATTTAAACAACTACAGACCTATATCAGTATTGCCAGTATTTTCAAAAGTAATAGAGAAGATAATAAACTCCAGGATGTCGGACCATTTTATTAAAAATAACCTAATTGTCGAACAACAATATGGATTTCAAAAAGGGAAATCAACCAAGGAAGCTTTACTGAAAATCAAGGACAAAATTTTAACCAATTTTGAGACCAAGCTTTACACATTAGGAATATTTTTAGATTTCAGGAAAGCGTTTGATTCTATTAAGCATGAAATAATTCTGAAGAAGTTGTATAACTATGGTATTAGAGGAGTAGCCCTAGAACTTATTGAAAATTACTTATCAGATCGTGTGCAATATACGACTTTAAGTTGCGAGAAATCAGAAATCGGTAAAATACAATATGGTGTTCCCCAGAGGTCCATCCTTGGACCACTCTTATTTTTGGCGTATATTAATGATATTGTCAACATTCCCCACACACCTGACATTGTGCTATACGCCGATGATACCAACGTATTTTTTTCTGGTGCCAACATAGATGAACTTGAATCACTTGCGAATG